TGGGCGGGGCCCGACGGTAGTGGGCGGGGCCTAGCGGGCGCCCCCAGAACCAAGGCCTAACCGGCCCTCCCGCGGCCCTGAGCTCCGATCACGTTTTCTTCGTAGTTATATATATTTGAAAATAAATATTTGAGGCCGAGTGCGGTGGCACACCCCGGTTTCCCAGCACTCTGGGAGGCCGAGGCAGGAGGGAGGGTCGCCAAGTCGCCCGGCCTTCACAGCTTAGTCACTCGGAGAGGCCCTATCTCAAAATGAAAATGCACAAAAGGGTTGGGGATGGCGCTCAGCGAGAAGGCCCTGGGTCAACCCCAGTACGGGACTAAAAAAGATATTTAACAAATTGTAAATAATTATGTTTTATTTCAGCCAGCCCGTGGACACTGACTTATCGGATGTCTCTTCTGTCTGCTTCCTTCAAGGCTTTGAGGAGTCGATTCCTCCCCCGGATTGCCAGCTGGGACCCCTTCCCAACCCACAACCGCGTTCTACCCACGGCACTTAATAAAATGTTACTTTTAACCTTCCTCAAAAATTTGACGTGAGGTCAGGCATGGGGGCGCAGGCCTGTAATCCCAGCACTCAGGAGGCTGAGGCAGGAGGATTGCCACGAGTTCAAGGCCAGCATGGAATACATAGTGAGAGCCTGCCTCAAAAAACCAACAACAAAAAATTGAGATGAGACTTGCAGAATTATTCCGTGGATCTCAGGACATTAACGGTGTGACATCATCCCCTGTCTGTATTCCCAGAATATTTTTATGTCTCCTTAACTTTCATCCCCATCCAGCCCAGCTGCGGCCAACTGCTCGTTAGAAACCACATACTTGTTCCTGTAGATTTGCCTATCCTGGGCATCTCATAGTGGTCACTATGAGACCTTTGTACCTGGCTCCTGTCATTCAGCCTGTTTTCAAGGTTCATCCACGTTGTAGTCTAGGTCAGAGGTCCATTCCTTTTCACAGGTGAGTAATATTCCACCGAATGGCTATTGATCACAGTCACCCTAGCAGTTGCTCAGTGGTGTCTCCTTGTGGTTTTGATGTGCATTTCCCTAATAACTGGTGACGTTGTGCATCTTTTCCTCTGCTTGCTGTCTGTCTTTACATCATTGGAGAAAGGTCTGTTTAAGTCCTTGGTCCATTTTAGCATCGGCCTATCTCTGTTGTTGTTCTTTTATTGTTTGTTGTGGGGATTGAACTGCGCATTCGCACTAAGCTACAATCACAAGATCCTTTTTTCATTTTCATTTTTTATTTTGAGACAAGGCCTAAGTGCCTAACTTACCCAGGCTGGGCCCAAACGTGTGAGCCTCCCGCCAGAGCCTGACAATGACAGGTGTGCCACCAAACACCACTGCAACGCTGCCTTTTGAGCTTTTCCCATTACCGCCCTAGGGTGGGAAGGACGCAGAAGGGGAAGGTGGCTGTGCCAGTTCACGGGTCAAGGAGCAAGGCTTGGAGGCCAGGCGCCCAGCGTCCTCAGAAACGCGCTGATGCTCGCCGCGCTGTCTGCCTCCCGAAGGACCAGTAAAAACGCGATCCCTTAGGACTGTGCTAGGAGGGCCCGGTATTAGGTACGGAGCATGCAGAGCGGTTGTCACACACGAAGTCACAGAGGCGGCACTGAGGTTCTGAGCGGCGAAACTGAAGGCCATCCTGAGCCTCAGTGTCGCCGGGGGGCTGGGCGAGGAGACAATGAGACGCTTGTCCAGTCACCCGCAACCTCGAAAGAGCCCGTCTCCCGCCGCCAGCCTCTGGGACAAGTCCTTTCCCTTCGTCCCGCCCCCAGAAGGCCATCCATTGACACGCCAGAACGGGGCCTGGCCCCGGCTCCCTCAGCCCCGCCCTCTCACTGCTGGTCCAGTCCCCACCCTGGCCCCGCCCCAGGGCCCCACCCC